TATATATATATATATATATATATATATATATATATATATATATATACAGGATTAGAATAAAAAAAAAAGGAGGAACGTACCTTGTGATAGGTCTCCTTCTGCCACGTTTTCACCTGCTGAATGATATCGTTGCAAAGATTCTCTTTGACCCTGAGGTGAAGATCGCACAGCCTCTCGGACTCGACGAGCACGCCCTTCCATGCAGCCTCGGTGGTTCCGTATTCTGGCCCTTTCTCGATCTTGTCGTTCCAATTCTTCGACCAATTTTTCAACGCTTTCGCGTAACTCTTCTCGATCTCCGCCCTCTCCTGCACCAGCGCTATTAAACTGTCGCACAGCTTGTGCCCGTCCTCGATCCTCTTGGTCGTTCGTTTGTAGTTACCCGGCTCCCAAAAGGAGTCCGAGGTTGCTATCAGCATGTTGTCGTCGCTGTGATGTGACATCCTAGCCTAAGTCGAGAAATTCCTTTCACCTGCGAGCAGAGGAATTACACGGTGCTGTTACTTGATGATAATTCAGTAGTTCAAGTTTCTGGGGAATTATTTGTTTGTTGAACGTCGGGTTGGACCGTCGAGCCCGTAGCAGTCACCATTTTCAGTTTCTTAACTAATAATTATATCGTTATATGTAATTTTTTTCTAGCATTAATTTTGAAAATTAAGTTTAAAAAGTTTGTCTATTCGCTCCGCGAAGGAAGATCCATCAATTCGATGTAAATTGAAATTAAAAGAAAATCGAGTGATAAGAAATAATAGCATATAAAATATAGAAAATGCCCAGGAATTTTTATATATAATTGAATCTTTATAACGTCGCGTGTGTTAACGTAAATGCAAAATCGATTGCAAACCTTTATCCGTGGATTACCAGCGTGAATAACGCAGCACTCATAATTAGATTGTACATCGACCGTCCTGATTTCATATCCAATTACGAGTAATTGTTACAAATTTCTATTCGCAGAAACCGTGATACCTATATATTTGTAACAATTTAGTAATATAATGAACTTAGGAAGAAAAAAAAAAAGAAAAAAGAAAAAAGAAAGAACTTGGAATAAAATGGACAAATGTGTCGTTAATTTTGTTACGAGCTGTCCGAGTGTAATGAAAATCCTGCCTAGTTGATACACATATGCAGTCCGATTAGGTCAACAGTGGTGTAACAGTGGCAATTAGTTGAAATAGCCTGTTGGACTCGTTGCATCTCCTCCTAAATCTGGCACACATGCAAATTTGATTTCGCATCGTACACGATCGCGAACGTACCGATGAAACTTTATGGCTTCTGTAATCGTACTGTCACGTTGTACATGAATTCATGTTGTTCATAAATTAAATTATTCTACTGTACAATCTACGTGGTATGATAATTTCAGTAAAACTTTTCCCTCGAAACTTATAAATACGTCATAAGATAACTGCATTCCAAGTAAAAATGATCGATCCAGTTTCCACTCTGTCAAATAACGATTTCATCTTACTCCGTGACGGATGCTCATTTCAATTTCAAGAAAAATTGAAAAGAATTAATTTGTCTGCTTTCTAAAACCTCGACGTCTCTCCCTTTTATTTCATCCCTTGCAATTATCGTCTCTCTTTTCGCAGATCGTTCGATAACAAAGTGAATTATCATCCGATGATGGGGATTGATGTCTTCCCACGAGAATCATCGCGCGAGTGTCTCC